TCTGTCTTCCTCATCTCTTATTTTTAGTCTAGTAAAAACTTACCATAATAGATGAAACTTGTCAATCACAAGGGACTGCTAGGCTAGTAACAGAACTCATCTAAACACAAATGGCAGAAAGTTTGACCAATCCTTACCCACTTAGCCCACCCTCATGCACAACACACCTTGACACGATTTCGGCTAAGAAGCTTCTGCTATTAAATAAAAAAGACGATGGCTTCAAATCCCATCCACCCACCCACAGTGCTTATCCTCTTTTCCCCTTTTTTTTTCGCACAAAACAGAAAACAAGATAACGTCGAATCTTAGGATAAGGCATTCACGAAAAATAAGCCTGGCAATATTATTATTATGAGCACTGACAAGGACCAGCTAAACAGTTCTCACTAGAGGAACCATGTTCTGCACCGGATTTTCACGCAACCCAATCTTGTTCGTCCACGTGTATTGGTACAGAGGATCTAACGTTTCATAAACATGTGATTATTAGAAGTCATGAAAATTTCATACTTCTGCTGTCACGGCACCATTTATCCCCTGGAAAGAAAACCAACCTGATCCATTTGATTTCATCAGCATATATAAGCTCCCAACAAGGAAGATCCAACTTCGTGCCCTCCATTTTCATCTCTCATAGATGCCATATATCAATGGATGAAGCTAGATGTAACCATGTGGATCAACACCATCATCAGAAACAAGATGATCATCATCATCATCAGGGCTGGATAATCATGGAAGATGGGGATTCATCATCATCATCACTGGGAGATTCAAGGAGTTCCAATGGGTCATCATCGTCTTTATCGGACATATTGGACGATGCATCATCATCAGGTTCATGTTCTTCAACAAATTCAAACACAGGACCTCTGTATGAATTATCGGAGCTCATGGTCCAATTACCAATCAAGTAAGTAACAAGAATATAAGTTCCTTCTTCTTTTTCTTCCTCCCTTGTCCAAGTACACAATTTGAATATGAAACTTTCTAATACTTTAGCATGACCCTAACTAATTCTGAATATTTAAACTCAAAAATAATTTCCCATTTCTTAATTTGATTTATATTGATAGACTCATTGATTCTTGCATTGTGTAGGAGAGGGCTATCAAAATATTATCAAGGAAAATCTCAATCTTTTACCTCTTTTTCAAGAGTGAAAAGCATAGAAGACCTTGCAAAGAAAGAAACTCCTATCAGGAAGAAAATGAAGGCATGTAAAAGCTATGGGTTTGGGTTGGATTCCCACAAGCTGTACACTCAACCTAGGGCTACAATATCAAAGAAGGTGTCTAGGGGTTCTTCTTCCTTATCTTTGCAACGCAGAAGATCAGGCAGTTTTTTAAGCAGCAGGCCTCCACCAATTCCTGTACAGAAGAACTTCTGAGGTAGCGCTGCCTTTTTTCTTTTTTCTTTTTTCTTTTCTCTTTTTTCTTTTTTTCTGGGGTGTAGATTTCATGTAGAATGTGAGCATCTATATTTTACTTATTTTGTTGTAAATTTTAGGTACAATGGAAAAAATAATTCTAAAGATTTTTCCTTAGTGCTTTCCAATGATTTCCAAGGTTTGATTCGCTCAAGTGGGGGGATACTCATTTCCCTTCCTTCTTTTTTTTTTTTTTTTCTTTTTCTCCATGTTCACTCATTAATTTAATTTTGAAAAGGAACAATCCATTCAAAGTTTGTGACTTTGTAGGTATTT